TAATTTAAGCGCAATACTAGACGCGGGGCATCATCAATATAAAGTTGAGTTGGCTAGCTGTAACCGTATCTTCTATCGTGTTTCTTTTCTCGATAGGAAACCCAGTCAGCTCTACTATTTAACCCATAAATAGTAACAAAAATGGTAATATTAACTGTTTCCTTATAAGGAAACATTTGGTATTCATTGACTAGCAAGTCAGTGCTACTTACGGTTAAAATCTATAAAAAATCTCTCTCAAAACAATTTTTTTCAGTAAAATAAGTTTCTCAAGTGAAGTATCTGATATTGCTCTATCCAGTATTGATGGGGAGAGGGGGTTCTTTCGTAACTTTTAGTTTTTAGTATTGTGGAACATCAACATCTAGATTGTGTCATTAGTTTCTCTTCGAGTTACATGTGCTCTCCATTTTAGTTGATGATGTTAAAAGTAATGTTGTTTCTGTTATCTGATACAGTTCCTTTTTGATTATGTAGCGCCAGTGCACAAGGTTCGAAAAAGGATGGTCCTTGCTAAAACCTACAAGATTCATTCACTTGAAGCCATTTTTAATCATTAATCTTAGGAAGCGGCCTTATACAGCTGACAGTTTGGATATTTCTGAACACGTTTAGCGCCATGCATGGCATCCATATAAAAGTCTCGACCTGACGAAGCTATTTTAAAAAATGACTCGAGATTTCAGGTTATTTTGGTTTTGTAGCAAATTCCAAAACTACCCCTAACATATTCTATGCACAATTTCTTTATCTCCTATACAAAATTTGTTAAAACTGATCCATACAAAGAGGTACTTTAATTTTTAGTATTTACCAATCCATGTTCAATCATTCCATTAGATATCTTGGAAGTGTATTAACAGATGATGGAAAGTGTGACACTGAAATCCGAAGGCATGTTGGGATAGCGAAAGATGCCTTCCAAAAGCTGAGCAAAGTATTCAGAAACAGAAAAAATATTGTTAAGAACAAAGAAATGAAAACTGTACTGTTATGTTGTATCGTTATTTCGATATGGTAGTGAATGCTGGACAATCTCCTCACAGATGAACGGGAGAATGGTAGCAATATAAATGTGGTTCTACAGAAGGATGCTGAGAATACCATAGACTGAACATGTGAGCAACGATCAAGTTCTAGAGCCAATGGCAACAAAAAAGAATACATACTTAACACCAGGAAAGGACAGTTGAAATTTCTGGGGCACACAATGAGGAAAAGAAGGCTTGGAAATTTTGATACTCACAGGACAGATTGATGGTAAGAGGACCAAAGAATACAATGCACAACCTACCTGGCGAGCTTGGGCAAATAGACGATGGGACAGGGTTTAGTAGAGATGGCAAAAAGACAAGTTATTAGGAGCTACAAAGAACAGAAATTGAGGAAGCCCCAATGAACGCTTATTTACTATTTCCACCCCACCTCAATAAGAGTAGGTAGGCTTGCCTATCGTCCGGTTCACGCTCCTTCCCAGTTTGGGAACAGGAGTAGAGGTTTATCACTTGTTTCCTGTTTAGAAGGAACTCAAAATCCAATCGTAGTTTTTTGGGGGTTTTTTTTTTCTTTTACTTCTGCTCGCCTCTTGCATTTTGATGGCATTATGACCATACTTGGGGACAGTACCTCTTACTCTGTAACACCACCTTGAGTGGCTCTTGGGCCTTATACAGGGTGAGAATCATTGTAATATAGAATAGACTTGAAGTAGTGGTTAGCAGTCTTACTCAACTTTTTATTTGAATTCACTTTCCTTATCTACAAAGCTTTAACTTGGCACAAGGCCATGAACTGCTTGTAATACAAATTTATTGAACAGAGTAAAAAAAAAAAAAAGTAATTTGTTTTTTTTTTTTTTTTTTTTTACAGAATTATCTAAATAAGTCAAAATAATCTGTTTCTAAATTATTTGAAATTATTTAAACAAGTGGAAAAATAGTAAGTTTGCTGAATTTATTTTTATTCTTCTTAATAATAATAATAATAATAATAATAATAATAATTATTATACATTAGAAAATTATTCAAATGTTTTTCTGGTGTTTAGCTCTATGTAACTATGACTAGAGTAGAAAATTCAAGTGAACTTATGCATTTTTTAAAGTTCTTGCCATTCTATGTTATTGAAAATGTCATTTATACAGAAATGTTCGAGTTTTTGCCTATTATCCAGCTCACATTCCTCTCTGGTCTTTTGAACAGGAGTAGAGGTTTATTGCTAGTTTGCTTTTTTTGGATGGGTTTCCAGTTCCTTTTGAAAATCTTTTTTCTTTCACTTCAGGTTGCTTACTCTGTAACCCACTAACTCAAGTGGCTCTTGGGCCTTGTACAGGGTAAATGTCAATGTAAAGGAGAACTTTTGTTACAACTTAGTTGCTAAATACCTGTCTTACAGACATCAAAAACTAAATAAAACATGCACACAACATCTGAAGAATGGACAGGCTCAATTAATGTCATTATTATGAAGTGGGATTTCCTTCTGTCATGGGTCCTTACCTATAACTACAGAATGAACTCTTCCTAACACTATGTATACTATGCCTCTCAAGAGAAAGGGACGAATCGAGTCGAGCTGATAGTAGTTCACTCCAAACCAGACTGACAGTCATACTAACATCTTCCACATCTTGTATTATTATTTCGTGTAATATACATTCGTTATTTCTACTCTTGTGTTTGTGTTGTTCTTCCTTGGTCCTAACCTGGACCATAACACCTTCGTATTCCTTATCTTTGCTAATTAAGCCGTCATTTACATATCACTACAGTCACTCAATGGTGTTTCACTGGCGAGTAACCCCCACAGGAGAGTGCCTGTGCATGCATTTCACAGTTAGGTCCCCTCTGTCAGGTTGGTTGCTCAAACTAGATCACAGATACACAACCAGTCCTTTACATATTCAGAATGGCTGGATACTCTCCAGATTGGTGTCCTATACACTCAGCAACACCAGCTGTGAAAAACATGTTATAGGAAATTAAAAGTACCAGCCTTCTTCAGGTATCTATCAATCTGGATTAAAGCATTGGTTCATGAATTTGGTAGCACAGTAGTTATGAGTTCAATCCCTGATCTGAGTAGTAGAGTTTGGCTGTTTTAATTAGAGGTAAAGTAATATTAACATCCATGTACAGCCAGTAGTTTTTAACTCATGCCCTCACTCAAAGTGAAGTGTCCCCTAGTATTACTATGCTAAAGGGTTTACACACAGTGTGTGTAGAGAAGTAGTTCCTATGATACTATTACAATGGGAAGTACAAACTCAGATGAAACAAGGCAAGCAATAACTGGGCAGTACTTTAAAAAAAAAAAAAAAAAAAAGCACCAAATAAAAAATCCCTGGGCATAAAGAACAATCTAGCTACTCTAGATTAAAGAGTTACCTGAAGAAGGCAGGAGAGCACAACAGCTGAAACATTGTGAACATAACAACAAAGATGAGGACATTTGTACAAATATAAATGATAACTCCTCTCAGACAGAAACTTCAAAATACAATGACCAAAATGTAATGAAAACAACAAAAATGTTCAAATAATTCTTAAAAAGAATGTATTTTTTTTCTTTTTTAAAACTTCTGCTGCATTTCTTTGCCAGTTTTTGTTGCTCTACAAGTCATAAGTGGATTAAGAAATCTAAACACAATATCATTTGGTATTGGAGTCACCTGCCATGACAAGAATTTTTGTTCAGTGAAAGAGATCATCTACAGAGTGCCAGACCCCAAAAAACAGTTATTTCATAATCTTACCATTTCCAGGTAACTCCTAAAATCAGGCAAATTTTTAAGCAGGACACCTTTTGCAATAAAGAATATTTAAAGTGTAAAAGTCAAAGAAGAAAAGCATAAAAATAAATGATTAATACCTATGACAATGGTATAAATTTCAGAAAAAAATAAGTGGCTCATAAATACAGTGAATAAAATTGATCTCAATAACCAATTCCCAACAATTGTAAATCACGTTTTTATTATAACAATATCTGGGGAAATAAAATTTAAAAAAAAAAAAAAAAAAAAAAGTGTTTGTATTTGTTTTCTCATCTTTTTGCAAATTACTTGAATCATTTTTTTTTTTTTTAATCATAATTATAATCTTTGCAACAAATAGACTTTATGAAATAATAATGTTAAAATTTTTTTTTTTTTAAGATCAGAATTCATACCATGATGGAAAATAAAAATCTCTTTATTTTACAAGTCTTTTTTAACTAACCTTACTTACCTAGCAGAACACTAAGCAGGATTAAAATCAACATATGCTCAAGATCCAAGAGGAGGACCATAACTCAAGCAGAACATCTCCCATTACACTAAGAGAGTAAAGGTCAATACCTGCTATCTCAACAAGGAAAGATCAAGGAAGCCAAGTAATTTTTGCCCCACTTTAGACATGCTCTTTTACCATATTCTGTTTAAGAAGGCATATAGATAGATCTACATTAATTTTTGTATTCAGCAAGAATTTATAATTTTTTTTTCATGAGTTTACAAAAGAAACATTATTAATTTTGATCTATTAAATGCTATTGGTATCTTGTAATTCTATTTTAACGAGGCCTTATACACAGATGAGACATCTGCTGAAAAAGTAACAAATGAATACACACACTCCTCTCAAAGCAATATACAATGAGGTGATGAAAAGTCTTCAGCCTGACCAAGAAGTGCTTCAAAAAAATAAATAAAATTCTGATGTTTGAGAATTTATATAGGCAGATTATACAAGAAGGTCATATAAAAAAAAAAACTTTTCCAGCATCCCCTATGTCTATGCACAAACATACTTAAATACAAAACCAAATAAATGTGTCTATTAAAGAGAAATGCTTCCAGGAACATACGTCCAATCGATTGCCACAGTGTCTCAGTCATTCAGCTAAACTTTTCATGGTTTACATTGACTCATGAAGAGACTTTTTTTCTTTTTATATTTGATTCCTTAGCCAACAAAAATATATCCATCCTTTTCAAAGGCTACAATAAAGGACAATATCACCTCCACCTAAAAGCGCAAATTTGGGCAATGTGATCAGAGGGAAAGACTACATTGGGCAAGGCAGTGTACAGAGTCACCTCCTTGTGCTCAGGGGATGGGACAACCTCCAGGACCTCCAGCATTTTGGGGTCATGATAAATATAGTCCAGCTGAGCATGAAATCCACCCACATAATTTGTGTACTCAGGACTGCCACACCCATTAGATAAATTGAATGAGTGACTGAGAGGGATTCCAGTTTCAACACCATCAGGGTTACCATCAGCTGAAAAAAAAAAAAAGACAATATTTAAAACATAATAATAATAATAAATACATTCAGAACAATAGGAATTATAAAACAATAAATATATGGAAGCTGTCACTTTTTTCAATATAAATGAAAATTTCACTCACACAATTTTGATCAAGTCAAAGTAATTGTATATTTATTTTCATCCCAGAATTTAAAATAAAAAAGGGAAAATCATAAATCTACAAAATTTTGATTTACAAATTCGAAGTAAGTTTTATGAATGAGAATTGTATTCTGTCAATTTTGACTTATGAGGATTGGAGAGTTCAGTTCTAGAACTGCTAGATGACCCACACAGATGATTTCATTATAGATGAACACAGTCAGCATGCTTGGGTAGAAGCAGACACACTTTTCAAAACTGATAACAGAGAAAGTGTGTACAGTGTGTCTTGAAGTCTCCAAACAGACCTCCTTGAGGTTGAATTCAGTTTTCACAGGGCATCTACTGAAACATGTGTATTCTCTAAAAATGTAACACTTTTTTTTCTTTTTTTTTTTTTCATTTCACCCCAAGTAAGTCAATAATCTCACTAAGAGGCAAGGGGTTATTGAGTGTGATAGAAAAAGACAGAGAGTAGTAAAAGGACAGGAATTAAGGAGACAGAAAATAACAATTGACATTGCATTTAAATTTTTGAAGATCAAAGTTGACTGGAAAGCAAGAAGATGAAAAAGATTTCCAGCAAGAAATGTAATAAAAGAAGCTGTTAGCATAGAACTTACAATTACATCTAGCCATTTTCAACTGTAAAATGATGAGACCTTGCACTTAAATTCATAAAGTCTAGGTACCAAAGATGAAAGTAATATTTATTTTGAAAATAAAAAAAATATGTAACACAAGGCCAAAACCAGGGATAAGGGGAAGGATGGTCTTCAATCTGTCTTATCTTAATTTGTCTCAGGGGAGCGGGAGGAATAAAAATAAAATTTTACCAAAGAGGAAAGTTCATCAGAACAATTACCATGAAAGTATTTATAGAAAAGGCAGTGGGAAAGTGAGATGCCAGGTCAGATTTTCCTTTGTATTTTATCAAAAATCTCTAAATATATAGCAGAAGCACCAGATCAGATGTGGCAGTAATATTAAAGTAGTAAAAAATATTCCTTATATATGTAAAAAGACGTGATGTTCACATAACAGTTACCAGAGAACCAAGTTCAGACTCTGTCCTAATTTTGTTGTATTGGCTTCACTAGGTCATCTAGCCTTTGGTCGCAGCCAGTCTTGGAAAAGACAAATTCCGCAACCCATTGCAACAGGCAACTATTCAGTGCTACTATAATATGATAGCTACCAAGGCATTCGCGACCTACCATAAATGACGATGCACACATTATTACTGAAAAATGCTCAGGAAAAACAATGATCTGTTTACTGTTTCTTATTTTAAATGACATCAAATCAGTTTACAAACATTAAAATCACTATTTGAGGATTTTTTTTGTATAAAAAATTGTTAATTTTTAATACAATATCCAGTTCACTGCTCTTAAACCTAACTCCTAACCCTAATGTCTTTTATACTTTCAATAATTGGTAAATATCATGCCATAGTAGAAAATGGACAGTAGATATCATACTATATTAGCATCAACTATTCTACCATGTTTACAAAGAAACAATTCACAGATAATAAAAGAAAGGGATTTGTAAATTACCTACAACCTGAACAGACATAAGTCATTAGAAATGGCCAACCCTCTTAAAATGTACAGCTCTCAAATTTTATATGCATACTTTTGAACACAGAGAAGATTTTAATGTTAATCTTTTTTTTTTTTTTTTTTTAAATGATTTCACCCCCAGGAAAGGTGATAATGCCATTCAGATGCAGGGAGTAACAAGGAGTGAAAGAAAATGAGAAGACTTTAGTGAGGAAAGGACACTAAAGGAATAGGGTTCAGGAAGATAGCAATTGACATTACGTTTAAATTTTTGAAGATTGTAGGCCACAGAAAAGTAAGAATTCAAAAGGGAGTTCCACAGGTGAGAAGTGCGAGAAAAGAAACTGTTAGAATAGAAGTGGAAGATGCATCTAGCTAGTTCAACAGTAAAATGGCAAATAGCTACCAATCTAGTAGCATGCTTAAATTCATGTCGAAGCACTAAGGAAAAAAAGTTCATCAGAACAGTTGCCATGAAAATATTTGTAGAAAAGACAGAGAGAAGCTATTAGTATGAAAATTTTCTTTCACAATAACAATTATTGTAACCATTCAGTGTAAGACTATAAATTTTATTATGAATGTCTAGAAAAGAAAAATAATTTTAGCAATTATTTGCTTTCGACTTTTTATAGTATTTCTCCATTAGTAACTGATCAAGAACAAATGAAATCTACTTTGTTTTTATTTTTATACTAATTGCTTTATGCAGTTACTGCAGCACAAAGACCATCCATCAAGTGAATGGTTGGCCACTCATATCCAAGAATGCCCATCTATATAGCAGCTAACCATAGTCAGGCACAGTTGTGTATTATACTGCAACTATGTTGAGTGGACATTATTTACAGTTTCTGGAAGAGAGCACGTTATCTAGTATGATCAACTATCTGAAGAAGGCCAATATCCTCAAATCCCTTGTCACGATGACTTGTGACTTTGTGCTCCCATAGAGTTCTGGTACCCAATTAAACTTACAAGATTTAGGTTAACTTGCGGTATGGGTTTCAGGCACTTTCCAAAGATGCCACATGCTGAGATCACTTCCCCAAGACTGATAATATCAAGAAGTCACCTTCCTGACCATGGTGAGACTCAAACCCCGGATCTCAGGATCAGAAAGTGGATGTTCTAACCATTATGGTTGACCTGCATACCCATATAGTGAATATAACCAATTTTTAATTGACAACAAAATTGCAAAATAGATATTGCTTCATTATGTGAGATTACATTGCACGACTAAGGAATAATTTGTCATTATAATCAGATTCAATCAAAGTATTGACCTCTTAACCAATGTAGACTGATTCTTCTATTAGTTTATTACATTCTATAGATTTTTATTATTTTTTTTTTTTACAAAATGCATCGATATTTGGAATTACAATCATATATTGTAAATGTCATTAATGAATATTCTTGTAATTAAAAACATTTTAAAAAGTATTAAGCTACAAATTATCAACTGTAAAATCAATTCAAAATCAAATTTTCGGTCTGACGGCTGTCGTAACTTATTAAACCCTCCTTTAAAATAATAAAACAAACGAACATTTACATATTTTATTTAGGATACAGGAATTATTTCCCTTGAAAATTAGTATATTAGAGTTATTTCCCTTGTAATTAAAAGAGCTATAACTCTTTTGCTTAAATATTATCTTGAGTTGCTAACGAGAAAATTTGATTTTTTTTTTCTTTTTAATCTAAATCTTGATTTATAAGTGTACTGTTCGCTTTTGAAAACTGACATCTTTTTGTCTTTATTATCTATTCTCCATATTACCATATTATTATTTTATATTACTGTAATGTCGTATCTAAAAGATTTTACACATTTTAATCTTCCAAGTGAAAAAAAAAAACTCACTTCTGACTAAGAGCAAAATTATGCTTTGTAAGTAAAGTATATTTGTTTTCATAATTCTAGTATTCACCTGATTTTAATAAATACATATAGTATATCAAGCTAGATATCTTACTCCCAGTGAGGAAAATCCCGACAGTGTTGAGCCAAAAACATTTACCTTAATTCCAGTATCAGGAATTGACCTTTAACATGTGCCATATCCTTTCAGGATGTTGGCGATCATGGTTCTCTACACTTTCCTGTCCTTTATACCTCTTAAAAAATTTTCTTATCTCTCCTAAACTTTGTTCCATTTACTTAAACTTGATAGGTAGGTCATGCAATGTTTTCCTTTGTCCCTTTTGCCTTCAAATATGTCCTGTGAGTATCAAATTTTCCAAGCTCTCTTTCCTCATTATGTGCCCTAGCAATTTCAAATGTCTCTTCCTGACTTTAAGAAGTGTCCTTTTTGTTTCCATTTTCTTTAAAACTTTGTATTTATTATCTTTTATAAGAAGTGTGAATTCATTTCAAATGTATGTTACTTTGAATATTCAGTAAATTTGTAAATTTTTTTTTTTTCAGTATGTGCAACAATAAAATTTAATCTTTGCAATGTCAAAGGAATTTCTAAAATTAACCATTAGTGACAAAAACAGAAGCAATAAAGAAAACCTTTGTGACATGCTTGGAACTGAAGAAAGCAAAATGCAGTTTTAAACTCTTTATGTCAGTATAAATTTACTGCATACAATCAACTTGAAGACATAAATTGAAACCAATACAAAAATTTCTACAATGCTACCATCTAAATCAGTGTTTCTTAGGCTGTACGCCCATATGAAGACATGTCTTTCCTGTTATTATTGGCAAATTCAAAACAACAACTAATTTAACACTGATAAGATAAAGAACAAATCTTCTCTGCAGATAATAATTAATTGTTATTGCTTTAGTTATCAATAAAGAGGTCATAATATTTATGACCTACTAAAAGATTTATGTCAGTACAAATTTACTGCATACAATCAACTTGAATATAATATTTGAAACCAATACAAAAATTTCTACAAGGCTACCACCTAAATCAGTGGTTTAAAATTTTATTATTGTGTAGTTTTATAATCTTCTTGGTGAAGCTATAACTTAGTAAAATATTTAACCAAAACACATTAAAACTAAGACAGTTACTTTTAGGGAAGTGTTTATCAATTAAATAGTGAAATTTCTGGCCTAACTTTGTACTGACCAATTGGCTAAATGGGTGGGGGTGTACCAAATGATCTTTCTATTTTTATTTCCTTTCTTTAGATCACTATCATCATATTTTCTATACTTGATTTCAGCATACTTGTAACCACTATTCTTTAAAACATTATTATAAAACACCGCTATATTTATCAAACACATCTTTGTCCGATGAGTGGTTACTAATCTTAAGTTCAAT